CAATGACTTCATCTAGTGCAGCTCTTTTATTCAAAGAAGGAATGTGGAAACTGAGGCCCAGAAATTAAGTGGCCTGCCCAGGATCACAGGGCAGGGCCAGGAGTTCTGCTACAAGCCTTTACTTCCCCATATGTCTTTGAAATTTGACTTTCGGAAAGGAAGGTCATTGATATTTTGGAGAGAGTACCCAGGGGACTGTCAGGGTGGCTGCACTCCAGGGAAGACGACCTGTTCATTGTTGAACATCCCTGCCTCCCATCCCAATCATCTGCCCCATCCTTGGATAAATGCAAAGAATCTAGACTGTGGTGGGCTATTACCTCGTAGTAAGAATGTGGAGACACGGAGGGGTCAGGAGATTTGGGGAATTCTCACTTTAATACAGGCTTCTCTGTTTACCAGGTTTGTGAGTTGGGCAAGATACCTAACTTTTCTGGGACTCAGTTTCCTTTTGTGTAAAAGCGGATAATAGAAGTAACCAACCTTAGGGAGTTGTTTTGATGATTAAATGTGTTTAGAACCTGGCACAGAATAAGCATGAATTTTTTTTAAATGTCATCTTGGATTGCATGGCTGAGATAGAACACTGAAGGGAGGCAGGAAGCAGGGAGAGCGGGGCGTCTGCAGGAAGCCAGGGAACTATCCTGCTGTAAGGGTTCAGCTTTTAGCAGAAACAAAACAAGGTCTGATGAGCAGGGATATGGCCTTGTTTTTCTTTTTTGAGATGGAGTCTGGCTCTTGTTGCCCAGGCTGGAGTGCAGTGGCATGATCTCGGCTCACTGCAAACTTTGCCCCCTGGGTTCAAGTGATTCTTCTGCCTCAAGCCTCCTGAGTAGCTGGGACTGCAAGCACCCATCACCATGCCTGGCTAAGTTTTGTATTTTTAGTAGAGATAGGGTTTCACCATGTTGGCCAGGCTGGTTTTGAACTCCCGGCCTCAAGTGATCCATCTGCCTTGGTCTCCCGAAGTGCCGGGATTACAGGCGTGAGCCATCGCATCTGGAGGCCTTGTTTTTTCTTCATCCTTTTATTTCTTTAAAGTTTAGAGACAGGGTCTTGCTATGTTGCCCAGACTGGTCATGAACTCCTGGCCTCAAGTGATCCTTCTGCCTTAGCTTCCCAAAGTGTTGGTATTACAGGCATGAGCCACCAGGCCTGCCCTCTTCTTCATCCTTAAATTCCCAGCTCACAGCTCAAGGCCTGGGACACGGTTGATGACCGATAAATGTCTGCCACTTACCTACAGCTGACTAAGGCTGAACATTATGACTCTTCCAGAAGCACAGTGGTCTCTCTCTTGTCCAGGTGCTGGTGAGAAACTCAAGTGTAGTACCCATCATGGAAAAACCCCATGCCTGGGGGAGGGGGGTGGGTTATCCCAGGAGGAGAAAAGGTGGATGACCCCTACTTCTTTGAGCCTATCAGGAGCTTCTAAGAAGTGTTTTAACCTCAACTAATAAACTAAATCCGTTACAGTAGACTCAAAACAAAGCTGAGCCTCCACCTGCTCTGCCTCCTTTCCCCTGGCCTGGTGATAGGAGTAGTTCAAGGAAGGTGAGTGCAAGCTACACACCTTAAGTTCCCTCTGATCCTGTCCTTGCTGTTGTGGCCAAGCCCTGGGATTCGTTTTCCAGTCCCACTGCCCCAGCCTGGGGAATGGTTCGGCTGGGCTGCTTCCCTCCTGGTTCTGCTTTTTGTGTATATTTGCAGGGAAGATGTTAACACTTCCTAACAAGCCTTTGTGTTCATCTAATCTCTGCTGTTTAACCTTTGACTCTCCCCTATTATCAGTGTCTGCCACCTTTGCTGGCCAGACCAAAGGCCCCAGGAAGAGCCCTCAGCCTGAGCTGGCTAGGAAGAGGATGAGGCAGGCATTCCACCCTTGGTTTGCAGGCAGATGGATCGCCTTTCCCTGGGGCAGAGCTTTGGAAAATAAAGCAACTTGCAGTGCCATTAGGATCCCCCAGCCCCCACTCCTTTTGAACTGTCAGCCTTTAAGTAAACATTCTTTTCCTGCTATGGGTCCCAGTACCTTGGTGGGGAGTGGGGAACCTGGGAAGAGAGGGGCCCTGAGAGTCTCTGTTGAACCAAGGGATTTGGGCAGGGAGGATGGGGGCAGAAGTGCTGCATTGATGTCAACTCTCTGAGTCCCCAGGGCATTGGGGCTTTTGAAGTGGACTCAGAGTAGCTGTCACCACAAGGACCAGGCCCCTCTGAAGTACTAAAAGCCCCATCCTCCCCAGGCCTGTCACTTGAGTTTGTTTGTACCTGCCTGAGGTGTTTCCCTTCACAGCCCATACAACCTCTGCAGCAGAAAGTGTTGCCTTGCCCAAGTGACTGGTCTGGCAGCCCCTGGCCAGAGCCTAAGTTACATTTCCACCAAGGAAAATACCAGACTGGTCTATTGTGAGATGAGAAGGCCATTCTTTGTGCTTTGGTGTAGTAAGCATCAGACCAAGGACAAGGAACCTTACTCTAATCTTGACTCCCATCCCTGCTGACAACTGGCTATAAAACCAGGCAAGGCATTTCATCTCTCTGAGCCTGAGTTCCCTCTTTGTTAAGGGGGGTCAATTTTCCTGCCAAGTCTAGTTATACACATTATGGACTGGGTGTTGCTATCTGGTCTTTTTTAAAAAAAAAAAAATAGGCATCATTAATCTCTGCACCGGCACCTGCAGATGGTAAGGACCATGTGTGATGTGTAAAAATGGAGGAGTGGTGTCTTGGGGCCAGCCAAGTAGTCCAGAGAGAGGTCCAGCTTCCATCATGAGGAGCATGGTTTGTCCTCTCAAGGAGATTTCTCCTACTGGATATACTTTTCCCTCTGGCCTACAAGTAGAGTCAGGCTAACAAGGCCTTGAAAGGCCCCGAAAGTAGTAGTAGTATTGAGGCCTTCAGTGGGTAGCCCATGTAAATGGTAACAGTAGGGCCCCAGCTTTGGAAGACAGATCTAAATGTCCTTATTCTGTCCCTTGTTGGAACACGTCCTGTTTTCTGGTGTCTCCATGAGGCTTTGGGTGTAGAGGAGTCCCAAGCTGCTTGAGCTGTTTGTGTGTTCCACGTTTCTTCTGCTTGTCTTTGGGAGACCCAGCTCTGAGGTGTGAGTCACTATAACCTGGTCTAATCACAGAGTTATGACTGGTTCTGCTCTTCTGCCATTGGACCGGACATAAGGCTTTCATCCTATGCTTTCTGGGGCCACTGAGCTCCAAAATACTGGTGTTCTAACTGGTTTCCCTTCTCCCTCTCTGTGTGTGTGGGAGAACTGGGTAGAAGCTAGGTAGCAGAGGGCCTGATGCCTAGCTGCTGAGTCACCTTGCGGAGTGCCCCAATGGTCTCTTGGTGTCCCCACAGGTACTACAAGAAGTTCTCCATTCCTGACCTAGATAGACACCAGCTACCTCTGGATGACACCTCACTGAGCTTTGCCCACGCCAACTGCACCCTGATCATCTCTGTAAGATTCACCTAGACTTCTTGGACACTGCATCAGGGAGAGGCTTCCTCTTTCCCTGCCCACTTTCCATCCCATAAGAGTCTCCAGTTCTAGCCCCAAGGCCTAGGGTGTGCTTGTGGGAGAACAGGCATCTCTAATTCAGCATGGGGGAGAGCAGGGAGGGGGCTCAGGGAGGGGGCTCAGGGAGGAGCCTGACCATATAATTAACAGCTAGAAGAGGGTAGAGGATGAAGCGGGAGCGGTGGAAATTGCTGAACTTGGGTACTGGTCCAAGGTCTGCTCCTACCCAGGCACATGACCTTGAGCAAATCATTCAACCATATAGGGCTCAATTTTCTAGTGCAAATAAGGGGATCAGAAGGGGCCCCAAGTGTGTGCAGAGGGAGAAGGGACAGTGACTGAATTATTTTCTTCTTCCTGGCTCCATCCACAGTACCAGAAGCCAAAGGAGGTTGTGGTGGCTGAGTCTGAGCTGCAGAAGGAACTAAAGAAGGTAAAGACAGCCCATGGCAACGACGGGGACTGCAAGACCCAGTAGTTAGCCCCTGAGCCTTACACCTCTAGCATGGCGGGTGCTGTGAGACTTCAAGGCCTGGCCCTTCTTGGCCACGGCAGCCTCCTCTTCTAGGAGCTATCAAGGGTCTGTAAGAACTGGGCCGTGGGGCATTCCCAGCCAGTGAGTCATGGTCTTATTTTCTGAGTAAAGTCATTGTGAGCTACTTACTACACAGGGACTGCCCTCTTGTCCACCTCTGTATGCTGCCTGGCCCCAGACCCCACTGGCCTTCCTCAGGAGTGGGGTGGTGATGACATTCCCTTTTCTATCCCAGGGATCGTCAACATAAAGCCTTCCACAAAAAGGGAGGCGAATAGGGTGGGAGCACATGGCCGTCGCAGGGCAGGGCTGGCCCTTCCCCACAATCTGTTGACACAAACTCAGAGGAAGACCAGTCTGGAGGGACCCTGTGCTACCCTAGTTTGCAGAAGTGGCTCAGAGGAAACTCCTGAAGGTATGTGCCGACAAGGGCAAAGTTTTAAAAATGCAGAAACTGGCTGGGCACAGTGGTTCACACCTGTAATCCTAGCACTTTAGGAGGCCAAGGCAGGAGAATCACCCCAACCTAGGGGATGGAGGTTGCAGTGAGCCAAGATCGTGCCACTGCACACTCTAGCCTGGGCAACAGAGTGAGACTTCATCTCAAAACAAAAAATGCAGAAACCTTAGAAATAGAACATAGGCTGTTAAGGCATTGTGGGTAAAAAGCCAAAATAAGGGTCATAGTGTTGCTAAGGGTGTGTGTTGGGGTAGGAGTCACCACAGGTAACAACTAAGCTCCCAGCAGCCTGGACCCTTTCCATACCCCAAATGCTATGGGGTAGGTTGTCCATGGGAAGTCTTCCTGGAAAAAAAAGGAAACCTTTGGGACACAGAGCCATGGGGCTGGTCCTGCCATTTCAGCAGCACATACAACCTTGAGCTTGGGTCTGCTGTTCCTTCTCCTCGGGCCTCCTAGAACTACTCAGTCAGTGAAGAACCAGATGAACAATCAAGCTTTATTTTTACAAAAATGAACATTGTAACATGTCTCCACAGCCAGCCTGAGGGAGGGCTGGCTCAGAACTCAATCAGAACTGCTGGGTTCTCTTTGCCCTTTCCTGGTTTCAAAGCAAAACCAGGCCACAGTGCGCCAGGAATGAACCTCCGGCCCTGAAAGGATGGTCAAGGGTGAAGTCTGGCTGGTGCCAGGGGGCTACTGGCAGCCTCACCTTTCCTTCCATGAAGGTGCAGAAAGGAACCATTTGGGAAGGTAGGCGCTCCTCCCCTCACTCTGCAGGCTGTCGTGGCTCTAATAAGGGGTGTAAGATGGGCCTCTCCGGGACACAAGGCAGGGGTACAGCCATACTCCTCTGAAGCAGCAGGTCCTGCCTCTCCAACAGGTTCCTGGGAGGGACTGCATCTCTGGTAAGCCCCCAAGCCCCAGGAGTCAGACTCTAGGGCAAGGTGCCCAAGCACTGGGGTCACAGGTCCAGGAGCATAGTGGGGCAGTGGGAGAGTTATCACTGCATCCTCCAAACAAGAGAGGTCCCTGAGTAGCTGGTTTCCCTGGTCCGTAGGCAAGGGTGGCCCTGATGGTCATGGGTTTTGAAAATCCAGGACATGGAGGTTGTAAGACAGTGCAGCATAGAGATGTTTGGTGGTGAGACGCAGGCAGTACACAGGGCTGCTGAGGGGGGTCGACGTCAGCGGGAAAGCCTGGAAGGGAGGGCACAGGAAGTGGTAAAAGCTTTCTAAGTGGGACGTGGGTATGCCCTAACCCAGGATCCCCAGGCCCAGGGAGATAGGCACATGTGCCAGTGTAGGCTTCTTCCAACCCTTTCTAGGCACATCCTTGGCTACCTCACCCTCTCCCAGATGCAGCCCATAATCATGAGTCCTGGCATCCTGGAGAAGAAGTAGGCAGCACACTTACGTGCAGGCAGGCCCTTTGGCGCCGGTCCCACAGCCGTACAACACCGTAGTAGGAGGAACCTGTGGCCAGCAGGTGGTTGCCATCTGTCTGCAGGCAGTACAGGGTGCTGTCGTGGGGCTCCTCCCACTCCATGACACATTTCCTGTCCAGGAAGAGGAGATGATGCAGAGGGAGGTTTAGGGTGCCCTCCACCTCCACCCCAGCTTTCTCGAGCCTAGAGTGACTTAGGAGAGCATTAAGGAGCCATGCCGGGCTGGAATAGAGAAGCCTCAATCATCAGATTTGTCAAACACTGAGCTTCCTGGGAGAAAGCACCTTCTGTAGAGGGCTCTCGCCGTGGCCCAGACCACAGACCACATGGTGCCTGCATGTGTTTCACATGACCAGCTACTTGTCACTGGACTCATGAAGGGGAGAAGCAACACAGGCCTCAAGAGAGGCTGGGACAGAATGTTGAAGGACAGTACCCTGATGGCTCCAGAGGCTCTGAGAAATGCCTGCCTTTGTCAGGGCCTGTTGGCTATAGTCTCCCAAGCCACTGGGACCAGGGCTGCCCAAGTGTAGGAAGTCTAAGCTTGGCATGACCTCGCAGGCCTCTTCCTTCCCAGCCCCAACATGGAGTCTCTGTTCCCTCTCCCATGGGCCGATCCAGGACTGGAGGAAGGACCGGGATTGGCACAGGGCCCCAGCCACCCTGCCCAGCACACTCACCGGACACTGGTGCGGAGGTCCCAGTAGCGAACGTAGGTGTCAGTAGCCACAGGACAGCAGTGTGAAAGGGGACTCATACATGACATCCAGCACCCCAGCCCCTGGAGGAAAGTCACTGCCCAAGTGTGTCATCAGCTGCCCACTGGGAAGGGAAGGACAGAGTGAGAGGCTGTTTCACATGGGCCATACATTCGTTCAGCCTTCAGAGGGTATCAGAACTTGGGCAAATGTGGTTCTCTTTCCTCTGTCAGAATGAGACCCAAGGGAGGAGATGCCTGAGGGCATCCTACCCACCTTGCTTGCCCCCCACCATGAGGCCTCTGCAACCAGTCCCCGGCCCCACCCCTCCCCCAGCAGCCCCTCCATCACACCTGCCTGCCGGCTGCCTGCCACACAGCCACTCCTCAGGACAATGAATGGCCCTTGCTGAAGGAGTTGCACCCCCCCCCCCTTTACACACACACACACACACACACGCACGCATGCACGCATGGTTACTTTATACTTCTTGATCCTGCAGGTCATGCAGTTCTGAGCTGCCTGAGTCCAGTGCCTTAATTCCTGCCTGTAATCTGGGGCTCAAACCTCGTTGGGGATAAAGACCACACAAAGGGAGAAGGGGAGTCCTAGGAGATGTTAAAACAAGTAAACACCTTTGTGTCTGGGGAGAGAAATCGCTGAGAAAGCAGCTTAGCGGGCTGTCCCTGGTGTTCCTGGCCTAGCTGGCCCCCAGCCCGGGGCTAGCATGCCTCTGTGATCACAGCCCCCAGCCTGCAGGGCTCCAGCTTCCTCCCCCTACCCTCACCCTCACCCCACCCGGTGGCCGAGAGCAGATTACTGAGAAGAACAATTTCTTTGTGACTGTGTAATTCCCTCCGTGACCGCGGCAGTGGGCAGACCCTTTGCCCTGATGCCAGACCCCTAGCAACCACGTAGGGGGGCCTCCTGTCCATAGCAACTACCCCTCAACATCAAGTGCACCCGCTAATCCCTGCGGCCAGGGGATGGGTAGAAGTATTGAGTTTCCACAGAGTGACTGGGGGGAATGAAGGAGAAGGGGCACCCTCCAGGCCTGATGCCTCAGCTTCCTTTACCCATGAGATGCTGGACGCTCCCCAGGCCATGACAGGAGAAACAAGGCCATGGACACTTCACGGGGATGTCCAGGTAAGAGGCCCTGGCATGGAGTGAGGGGACTTCATGGCTCACCAGCCCAGCTTGGCCCAAGCAGCATTTCAGCAAAGGGCTTGAGGCAAACAAGGCGGCCAACCACATGTCTGACTGCAGATGGCAGCTCCTGTCCTTCCACCTCATTCAGACTCTGACCCACAACCTCTTTCCTCGACAGAGCTGCCATCTTCCCTGAAGGCTGAAGGAGTCAAAGGAGACTGGGGGTTCCTTTCTGTCCCCTCCACCTTTCCCTTTGAGCTCCGGACAGTGAGCCCTGGCCAGGAGCACTGCTGCCACCAGTGGGGGATTAAGCCCCAGCCAGCAACCCCTGCCTGCAGCCTCCTTCTCAGGGAAGTTCTGGTCTTCCTCTCCATAGCCCAGAGCTGGGCCTGCAGGGGGAAGATGACAAGCCTCTGTTAGGGGAGCTCCTGAGAGGGATCATGCAGAAAGCCCTCTCCCCAGATCTGCATCCCAAAGAGACTGCTAACCTTGGCTCCCAGAGAAGCTCTGCCTTCCCAGATGGGCCACCAGCCAAAATTCAGCCACCCTGGGTAGGCCAGAGCCCCGTAGGGGGTCTCTTTCTCAGGTATCCTGGGTGCATGGTGGGTAGGGACTGTTTGGCTCCACGGTTCTCCTCCCTCTTCCAGATTTGGGGGCCCTGCCCCCTCCATTAGTGAGGCCTTAAGGAGTGATTGAGGAGCTCTCCCCTTTAATCTATAGAAGTAATTTCATGTTTGTTTGAAATAGAAGATGAAAGGCAACGGGGGTTGGGAGGACTGAAGCCCAGCATGGCTCTACCTGCCCACCCTGGTCCCTGGGTTCAGAGGGAAGGAGAGCTGGGCACTCATGGAGCTGCACAGGGACAGCGCCCACCCAGAATGGGCTGCCCACCTGGGCCCTACCCCAGCATTCAAACTGCCACTGGAAAATGTCATGGCTCTAAGTATCTGCAGTAAGAAATACAGAACAGCCCAAGGGGTCCCTAACCTCAGCGGGGGAGACTCAAGAGCCCAAGTGAGCGCCAGGCCCTGGAGGCCAGCACAAACCCCAAGAGCCCCTTGTCTGCCCGCACAGCCTGGCCAGGAGCTGAGAGGTTTATTTCTGCTGCGCTGTTCTCTGGTTCTCTAAAATGGCCACACACGCTTTAAATGGGCCAATAAAAAGATACAATTTCTTTTGCCCCTGGGCCCAGGACCCTCAAGGCTCTGTTGTGTGGTGCCCGTGAGGTTAAGTTCAGAGCATAAACTGACACACCAGGCTCTGGGAAAAGGCCCATCTCTTCAAATAGCGGCCCAGCAGTGCCACAGAAGCCCTGCTGGGGCTTTGATTTGGGAAAACAAACAGAAATGGCACCGTGGGCCCTTCTAGGCCCCCACCCCAAGACCTATTTAACTAGAAAACTCGAGCTCAACTGCTCTGGTGGAGGGAGAGACTGGCCCGACAATAGCCCCAAACTTTGGGGGAAAGGGGACAAAACAAGCTGTCTGTCTCCTCATCCCCTCCTCCTGGGCTCCTTTTCTTACTGCAAGTGTGTTCTTGTACAAACGATTAGATTGCAATTTGTATAACGTGGTGACCCCCCAAATTCAGACATTTCACCCCTTTTCTCTGGAAAGAATGTTAAGAATGCTTCTCAGCCTCTCACTGTGGGGGGTGGGAGGGGGGTGCAGAGCCTTGGCTGTTGCACAGCTTGTGTGGGAACAGGGCTGCTGCTCAGAGCCCCGGGGCAAGACAGGAGCAAGGGCCAGCCCATCACTATAGAGGGCCAGACAAAAAGTCCATTCCCTTCCAACTCCCATGGACAAAGCCCAGGCCTCCAGGAGCCACTGAGGGCTGGGGGCCTCTACACCCCAGCCTCCCCCGAGCCCAAGCCCAGCAATTCTCTCTCAACTCAGGGAAACATAAAGACAGATGGGGCCGCCCATGTGAGCCTGATGAATGAAACACAGGCTGAGGAGCAGCACCTGAGGGAGACCTGTTCCCTTGGCTCTGGCCATGTGCAGGCTTCTCCTGGGAACTCCATACCTGGAGAGGAAGAAGCCAGTAGAGTGTGGCCACATCCCTGAGAGGTCAACCCATCCTGCTGCCCAGGTGGCTCCACTGCAGCTGGAGGGAGACAGAGCACTTCCTGCCAGTCAGAGAGGAGGGACATTTACATGAAACGCTGATACCCATCACCCTCTTTTGGGGAGAGCTAACTGCTAGTGGGGGCTGGCCCTAAAGGATGGTCCATCTGGGAGAAGCCCTGAGTGCTAAGCTAGACTGGGCACAGGGGGCAGTCCCTGGCACCCTACCCCTCGCCCCACAGTCTGTAGAGCTAGAAAGCCTGGTGCCCTGCTGCCCTTCTCTCAGCCTTCCCTACAGCCACCTGTACTAGAGTGCTCCTGAGTCACCACCTCCCAGCCTACAGCTGAGCATGCCCACAGCTCCCACACCATTTTCCAGTCATTTTTAACATACTGGGTTCCGGATACTGTTCCCTGGAGACCCTATGGATACTCATTCCTGCATCTGTTTGGGTCTGTGCTTACCTGCGCACCTGTTTGCCATGTGCTGCCTTGAAATGCAACAATGGCTTTTGGAGAGAGGGGATGGAAGGGTGACAGCATTTACCTTCCATCTCCTCTGCTGCCTGGGGGACAGATGGCTTGAAGGCAGAAGCTGGGCCCAACATAGTTGCAAAGAGAATGGGGGGGGGGGTTTCCCTCCCTTCTATCTCCTCTTTCCTTCAATCAGCAACCATTAATTGAGCATCTTCTGGATACAAGGCATTGTGCTTAGTGGAAACTACAGGGAGATGGAAGCTGTGACTATCAAGACAACTCTTGCTGCCTTTAAGGAGTATTCAATCCAAGGACAGAAGTCTGCAACATGTATCCAACTAATGAAGTGTGAGTTGGTAGGTACCACAGAGAATAACAAAAAGTTCTATAAGGGGGCAGATAGGTGAGCATTTCTGGCTGGGGGTGTTGACTGATTCTTCACTGAGGGTCAGGACTGTCATAGGCAGTGACAGGAGATGGCCCAGATGGCAGGAACAACAACAACAAAGGTGCAGTGCTAGGGTAACCAGGCTGCTTTGGCGGCAGCTGGCGATCTGGTTTAGTTGGAGGCTTGGGAGTGTGCTGGCAGGGTCTGACCTCCAGGCCACAGCGGGCCTTAGGGTGCATATCCCTCACCCAGCAAAAACTAGTGGCAGAGAACCATGAGGCTTTTGAACAGACAGTGTTTGTCCTAGTCCAAGCCCCTGACTTAGATAAGGAAACCAAGAGTCACAGAGGAAAAGTGACTTAATGTCATAGAGCAAGGAAGGGCAGAGGCTGAATCCATGATAAAGGCAGAGCTCCTGGAAATCCAGTCTGGTAGCAGCTTTCAGGCTGACAGAAGTAACCCAAAGGGCCTGTTCTCTTTGTGTCTGCTGGAGCCAGATGAGATGGCTGTGAAGGTTATCTGTAGTGGCAAAGTAGCCACTACAGCAAAAGCTCACATAACCTGAGTCCATACTGTGCACCAGGTAACCTGCTTAGTGTTTTACTCGTATGAGTTCAACAGACTTTGGAGATAAGTTTCTTAACACCACTTTACAGATGAGAAAATGAAGGCTCAGGGATCGCACACCCAATAAATGTTAGATCAGGTCTATATGCTCCGGGGTGCTGGTGCTCCCCACTTTCACAGACAATGCAGCCACTCTCTTGCTGGCCGCTTAACAACCTCTATCCAACTGTACAACTGGACCTGCCCTAAGAATTACCCAGGGCCACCTCCAGCCCTTTCCAGCTTTTTGCAGGCCTTTCCACCTCACAGATGCCCAGAGGCTTGCCCTCTGGTGGGGTAGTGAGAGAATCAAGGGAACAGATAGGTTCTAAAGGTTAACAATGGAGGAACAGAGGTGAGAAGCGTATGGAAGCTTTACTTGCCTCGGCCCCATCAGGTGAGAAGGAAGGGCCCTCTTAAGCACACAGCCTCTCA